CATATGAGTAGTTGGTGGTCTGTTCCACAATCAGCTCCTGGCCTAGTTTTCACAGCTGATATTGAGCTTCTCCAGCGGTTTTTTCCGCAGATGTAATAGATCTGATTCCTATGCATACCATCAGGTGAAATCCATGTATATAACCTGCGTTTATGTTTCTTAGAAAACGTATTTGCAATGAATAAGTCATTGATCATACAAAATTCAATCATTCTATCTCCAGCTTCATTTCTCTCACCAATCCCATATTTTCCAACTACTGATTCTTCTTCTCTGTTCCCAACTTTTGCGTTGCAGTCACCCATTATTATCAATGCATCTTGATTGCATGTTCGAGCTATCTCAGACTGTCGGTGCATGTTAATAGGAGGAACCAATCCCTAGAGAAGGAGATCAGGCTCACTACAAAGAGTCAGCAAAAGGAAGACACTCCGTGGAATGGACTGACTCAACGACGGCCAGAATGGGCTCAAGCACAGCAAGGACCCTAACAGGGGCCCAGGACAGGCACTACTTCCCTCTGCTGGACACGGGGTCACTCTGGGTGACTGGAAAGAGCCCAACAACAACAACAGAATGTTCAATGAGAGATACAGGTGTCTAAACATATCTTTTAAAAACATAAACAGGCAGTGATTTCAGAACTATCCGTAATGTACACACTATTGGTAAGCACTTTGATTAGACTTGAATAGATTGTTGCTTAGAAATGAAAAATTTTATCAACAGCAATTAGGCAAGACCATATTCATCAGAGGGAGAACATAAATACTTGGGAATCAAAGCTTTGAGTTAAAATCATGAAAAGCTGTTGTTTCAGCTATTTTTGTTAATTTTAAAGCTGTGAATTACAGTAAAGGGAAAAATTAACCCAAGAAAAAAAGGACATGTCAGTGGCTGAGACTAGTCAAGCATATATGCATTTTTCTAAACAGGCCTTGTGAGACACAATAGCTTTATATAAATTTGAATTTAAAAGTACAATTATCTATGTCCTAAAATTCCACAACTTCTGTACTATCTCATGAGTTATGGATGGTAGTTTCTCAACTTTTTAAACCATGTAATTTTAAGCTTAATGTGCTCACAATTTTTGGCAACTCTAAACACTAATTAAGTACACTATTACTTATAGATTTATTTAAGCTCTTATTAAAATAAATTGTTTTAAAAGAAAAGTTTTTTATCTGCAACATTAATAGAGAGCAAACATAGATGCTACACACACATATATGGCAAATAAATCATTGATAAAATTTTAAATGTTCAACCCAGTACCAACTAATTTACTGTACAACTAGTGGTAAATGTGCCCTCAACTTTTAGCCTTATTTACTAAACCACTTTCTCATCTATTTTTACGTGCAGTAAAAACTAAAATCAGACATTAAGGTGGCCTAGATTAAAGCATGCCTAACTCAGGCTGTGATCTTTTCAATCACTTGCTGTGCATCTGAGAGTTGGACAATGAATAAGGATGACAGAAGAATCGATGCCTTTGAGCTGTGGTGTTACAGGAGAGTACTGAATATCTCATAGACTGCCAAAAGAAGAAAAAAAGAAAAAAAAGAAGTTATGTCTTGGAGAAGGTGCAGTGAGAGTGCTCCTTAGAGGCGAGAATGGCAAAACTTCATCTCACATACTTTAGGCATTTAGTTAGCAGGGGTTATTCCTTGAAAAAGGATATTATTCTCAGAAAGGTGGAGGGTCAGTGTAAGAGAAAGCCTCTCAAGGGGATGGACTGACGGTGATTGTAGCAATGGACAGAAGTTTGTCAGAGATGATGAGGATGGTATAGGACAGGACAGGGTTCAGGCCCGCTGTTCACTAAGTTCTTAGTTGTTCTGCAAAGTCTACTCCACTGGACAACACCTAACAGCGGCCGTCACTGAGCTGCAGTGGCCAACTGGTAAAGAGCTACACTGCCACCCCAAAGGAAGGTGGTGAAAGCGACCCTGCTGCTCTGCAGGATGAAGAGGAGCAATCTCTGCCTGTGCAGTTTACAGCCCCTGAAAACCAGCTGGAGGAGTAGACAGGAGTTGGCTCTGAGCCAGTGGCAATGAGTTTGACTTCTGATAGCCCTCAAAGAGCTAATCAGTAACTGAGCTGGGGTCAGTCCTCTTCTTTCCTCCAAAAAACATCACCTCTTCACACTCCATTCTACTGTTCTCTCCACTACACCTGGTTAATAGTGGCAACAACGAGAACATTAGAAGCAAAATAGTACCTTATTAGCTTTATTAGCCTTTCTTTTTAGCAGTTTATCTAACTGGCTGAAAATTTAATTATTTCTGTTTGTAGAATGGCATTTGATTCATGTTCCAAATCTAAAAGCAATTCTAAATAGATTATTATTTATACTGAGGTTTTGATAATTTGATAAATGGTAAGTAGAACTGTATTTTGCGCTGAAAGCTAACAAGAGCAACAACAACAAAAAAATCAAGTGGCTCCCAATGTGGAAGTGTAAAGAATTTTCAGATAAAGTGAGTGGCAACAAGGGAAGAAAGGCTGTGCCGTCTGAAATGTGCTAAGCTTGAAGAAAGGAAGTAGACAAAGGTTAAAGAAAGCCCATGATAAGAAAGAACATGGTGAATGCTCTTAGAAATGATGTGGAGTCTTCAGCTCATGGACTTTGGTCATGTCCTCAGGGACCAATTCATCATGATCAGAGTCCTACTGGAAAAGAGGAAGACCCTCAACAAGATGGACTGATGCAGTGGCTTCAACACAGGGTTCAAGTACAGCCACAAATCTTAGGATGGCATGGGATCAGGCAGTATCTCCTGTTGTAAACTTCGTATGAGTAGGAGTCAACTTGATGACACCTGACAACAGTTTCTTAAAAAAAACCATCTGGAAGTTAACAAATCCTCTGGATCACAAAACAGTTTGCAACATCTGAAGAAATAAATTGTTGCACAGGTAGCTTGAGTTTTAAAAGGCTACCAACAAAAGAGGGAAAAGGAGGCAGAACTACACAGAATTGAGACACAAACAGCCCAAGCCAGCCCTCTCCATTCTCCCATTCACCTTTGTCGACTTGTGTCCATATCTCGCTCATATCCTGCATTGGTTTAGTATCCTCTGCTGGACGGTCAGCTGTGAGTTGGTTCTGACTTGATGGGATACAGCAACAACAAAAAGACAAAAGTCCTAATGTCTAATATCTGGTAACTGTGAATATGACTGTGTTTGGAAATAGGGTCATTGGAAATTTTATCAGATCATATAGCATGAGGTCATACTTAGCAGATTTTAATCCAATCTACATTGTACCCTATGAAAAATATTTAAAAGGAAAAACCATAGATATAGTGGGATGATGACCATATGAAGACAGGCAGCATGGAATGAGGCATTTGTATGCCAAGGAAAAGTAAAGATTGTTGGTCACCATCAGAAGCTAATCATGACACAGATTTACCTCATGAGGAATCAACATGATCAACAACAATTCTGTTACTTTCTGTCTCTAAAAGAGTGAGAGAGAAGTCTATGATCCTTGGTTATAGCACTTCCAGGAAACTAATACATTCCTTCCCTAGGAAACCTTCTTCTATCTTGACTCACAATCATCTGTGCTCTTCTGAGCTCTGTTCTCTGCAATTACTCATGGACTTTCCCAAGTCAAATACAAGGTTTGAGATGGTCCTTAGAGGGCTTATAAGCAGTGCCTCCTGCAAAGCAGATGTTAAATAAATAAGCAAGCTGAGCTGAAGAAACTAATTAGAATTTAGTGTGGAACACTGGTGACCTAGTGGTAAGAAGCTGGACTGCAATTCCCAATTCACATGGTTTGCATGAATCCACCGGCTGCTCTGTGGGAGAAAGATGGACATTCACTTCCTGTGCGATTAACTGCCTCTGAAAACCCACCAGAGGGTCAGCTATGGGTTAGTTCTGACTCAACGGTACACAACAAGAATAGGCAAAAAGAACAAAGAACTTTTGAGTATGTGCTGAGGTTGTACCAACAGCCAATCCATCTCAAATCAATTATGCAGTATGTAAAAGCAAGAGGCATAGTCATCTGAAATTTCAAAAATGGCACAGTACCTGCAGGAGACTTTCAATGGCATGAAAACCTCGAATTAAATTCAGAGCTCCACATAAAAGGCTAAGGATAAATGCCACAATCCCTGATAGAGTTGCAGGTTCCAGTCGCTGATGAGCTGGAAAATAAAAGGGTGAGACAAGAACATCAGTATCTCATGTACAGATTCACTGTTCAATTTAAATGGGTCAAACAAAGGTTAACTGTCAAAATTATTTAGCAATATTTGCTGGTGAGTCATTAAATATTTTAGAAAATGAAACACATCTGACAAAAGTTTCACCATCCTAAAAATGAAGAAGTTAATTCATTTTTCTCTACATCTTTAACAAAAATATCCAACTAGTACTTGAGATATATAGTGCTAAGAAATGCTTCTCATAAAAACAAATTAAAAAACCCTTACTTAAAAACAGATCAAACCCCTTAATGCTTAAATATATCTACTATTGGCAACTAGGTACAAATATCTGCAAAGGTAGGTGACTTTGCTTAAAAATTCATTGCATAATTCCGACTTTTTTGGGAAATGCTTAGAAAACATTTTTAAGGACAAATATAACTTGCTTTTAAGCAAAGCTCTTCCCTATTTGGGCTTCAGTGCTATAAATACTACTGTATACATGTCAAAGCTCATACATCATCACAAGTCAGAACTTTCCAATACAACAGTCCTAAAGCTGTGACGCCACTGGTCCTCTGAAGACCATTTGGAAATAAAAAATGACTGAGCATCATTTGAAGAAATTATCTTAACAAACATATTCTCTCATTTTTAAGGGCTTCACTGTTGCATAACATACTCATTCTGTCACACAATAGCTTCTCTTTACCATCATCTTGTTCTTAATAGAATTAACAGAGGCATCTAGATGAAAACACAAAACTAAACACATAGTCATCTCTAGATGGCAAAAGAGAGACTGGGAAAGGGGACAACAAATCACATTGAGATCATTTTATTTAACTCACTGAAGTGTAAAAGTGCGAACAATGAAGTTAATGAGGTGGAACATTAATATATAAGAAAGGGCTTAAATTTCAGCTACGTATTCAACCATTACAGTAGAAAAGCTTTCCTAAACAGTTAATAAAGACACAAAAGCCCACAGGTTGCACACAAAAACGTATTTATTCCTCAAACTCAACAGAAAATCCTAATGTGGGATAATATTTTCTTAAATTTATCTGTGCCCAACCCACTACTTGGTGTCTCAAACAATTTCCTTAAGATTTTACTATAAAAATGGAAAATTAAATATCATTGTAAAGTATTAATACCAAGTTTTCTATCAGAAGAGAATAAATATATCAATTTTTTAAAAAATCTATGGAATGGGTCTACCAGTTAGACATGTTTCACATTTTCTCTCAGTGGTAAGCAAAGGATATTCCACTTCTATTAAAAAAAGAAAGAGAAAAAATCTTTAATATGGTCTGCAAGCAGAAAAACCTCCTGGTTATGTAGGTCACACTTCAAAAGTATATTAAATAGGTTTACTATTTTTAAAAAAACCAATGAATAGGTGGCACTAGAAAAATCTTTTTATGGTCAAGGATGTTTATTTCTTAAATGAAAAAAAATCACCATATTGATGTATTGATGAAGATATATTTAAGAAATGAATAACAGACTATATAAATGAAATACTGTGTTTGTAACACTAGCCTTTGCCCTTAGAGAGGTCTCTTTTGAATGAGAGCATATTATTAATAAATTAACTAATTAAAAAAAGACTAAAAGTGTGTGTGTATGTGCGTGTGCGCATACCATCAAATCAGATCCAACTGGTACAGGAGATGTCCCCCTCTTCCTCAGCGGAGCATCTGGTGGATTTGAACCACATGCCTTCAGGATTACAGAGCAGCTTCTTGTCACTAGACTACCAGAGCTCCCTCTAATATATTTTCCTAGGCACAAAACCAAGTGATAAGCTTACAGATGAGGCATGCATTGTGTGGAGAAGGACGAGCTGGAGCTGTGCCAAATCACAGCGGGAAAGAAATTCTGAAGTAGATTCTCCTATTCTTCTCCTCAGTTCCTTATCAAGACCTGTGGCTTGCATGTTAAGGGTGGTTATCCACCTGCATATGACCTAAGAGGGTAGCACTTCTAAGGATGACTTCTCATTTTAACAAACTATACTAGATACATCAACATCTTTTAATGCATTGTATTATTTTTGCTACTTTTCCTTTCATAAAAACAGGATTTGGAAGTATCTTTATCCATAAATCTCATCACATACCTGGATCTGGCACAGACAGTGTCAGGCACTATTAGGTGCAGGGTGTACCAGAACAACAAATGAGAAGGAATGCAGTTAAAAAAAGGTGCTGGATCCAAAGCAGTGTTACATAGTCCACATCTTTTATTCTTTCTCTATAATGTCTTCTCTTCAGACTCTGTGTGTGTGTGTGTGTGTGCGCTCCTATCTTGAGATATTTATATACAAGATAATGTTAAACAGTTACTGTTTTACTTTTTCATTTCTTGCTTAATTGTCTTAGCAAAATTGATATCCTTTCCCTGTTCCTGATTTTAGAAGGAAAGTTTTCTTTTTCTGTATTTTTGAAGATGTCCTTTATCAGACTGAGGACGTTTCCTTTTATACCCAGTTTGTTGAAATGGTTTTTTTTTGGGGGGGGGTGTTTAATTATTAAATAAACATTTACTGAAAAAAATCCTTCTAAACTACTTAACATATTTACTTTTATTTCTGTTTATAGAGTAGTCCATGAAAAACAAAATGGTAAGAGTTCAGACATCTTAAGCAACACTTGATTTCTGAGCTGCAGAAGGAGGCAAATATTTTTCCTTAAGAAATTTTTTTTTCTTCCATTACATTTTTCTTTCTTGCTGCAGCACGGGCATCCTTTTCAAGTCCTGGTCTGACAAAACGATCCACATAGGGTATTGCAAAGAATCATTTCCTATTGTAGCTTTTATTCATGTGCCAAGGTACAGGTCACTGCTTGAACTTGTATCAGAAGACTCTTTCGAAATGTTTCTCCAACCACCAGGACTAGCTTTTTCTTGGCCAGTCTGAAGAAGCATTACAGCATCTTCTCTTTCCTGGACAACTTTATCTAATGCATCCATGGACCCCACTACCTTTTTCTAACATTTCTGGACTTGGCAGTGGTAAACTCTGCCTGCTGACCTTCTGTTCTAGTGTTAGGGAGAAAGTTTCTTTCTTTCAGTAGGACATACCAGGGTTTATGAAAATCTTCATTACTTATCCCTTAACTGCTGACATGTCCATGAAGCTCCAGATTTTACTTTTTTCCTTCCAAGTTCTCTGGATCATCAAACATTTCTTTCAGTCCTTTTCTTGACAAGACAGTATGAAGTAAGCTACATGATAAAAAGATACGTATCTGATGCATTTGGAGGCAAAAATACAACTGCAAATCTACAGCTTGCACTAGTGAGGGTCTGAGAGATTATTAACGCTGTGGAAGCTGTGTTTCTACTTGGCAGAAAATGGTCAGACAGGACACAGCCATTTTTTCACATCTGTGGAAATGTTTTTAGCATGAAATAGTATTTGATTTTGTCAAACACTTAGTCTCCTACTTAGTCTTCTATTCTACTGATGAGTTATATAACACTGATTTTTAAAACATTTTACTTCTTTTAAAAAAATTGTGGTGAAAATATAAAAAAGGTTCACTATTACAACAATGTCCATATTTATAATTCAATGCTTATCTTTTTCATATTGTGCCACCATTATTGCTAACCTTTTTAAAAATTCTACTACTCCAACACTTATTGCATTCTGTCCTGTTAAATTTTGCCACTGTTACTGGGGTCCAAGTGATATCTCACTGTAGTTTTGATTTGCATCTCTCTCACTGGCAGTGATTTTGAGCATTTTACCTTTTGACTATTATGAAAGACCACCAGTGAACAACACTGGTGTATAGGTTTCTGTTTTAATTCCTGCTTTCATACTCATAGTGTTATTAGGAGTTATAGTCTACTTGACAGCATCTAACAAAATATATAAATGAATGTATATATATATGTGTGTGTGTGTATATATATATAAATATAAAATTTCAAAGAAACAGCTGATGAAGTTATGGTGGTTTGTCCCAAACCAAAACTGGTGAGTCCCAAAATCTGCACATAAAGTGGCAGGCTACAGGCTCACATCCCAAGAACCAGAGGTCAGAGAATAGTATGTTGGATAAAGGACCAAAGGAGAGCAAGTGTTGCCAGAACATGCATACATTTTGGATATAGGACACATCTCTGAGGAAACTTTGCTTTCAACTGATTGATTGCTCATTTCAGATAATAAAACTGAGAATATAACACTGGTCAAACCACTGAGAATCAGGACCTAGCCAAATCAGGACATAATCTTTTTTTTTTTCTATATTTTATTAATTTTCATAAACATTTACAGAGATTTTGGGTTTCCATTCATTCCTTGTTGCACTATTCTCTCTACCCTCCTCCCAGTTTGTTCTTGTCCAAATGCCACAGTGCTTGTCAAAGCCAGTTCTGATTAATCTTCTTTGTCAGTGTGTCCTTTGCCATTCCCTATCACTCCTCCCTGAGAGAGACTTCACCCTGAGTCATAAGGAAAAGGGGATGGCATATTCTCTTAGCTACTTCCTGCTGAAAAGGGACACTGTGGGTTTCAGGGTGAAGATCTTCTCTCACTACTCTAGAGGGCCCCTTTGGCAGTAGGAAACACATAGACTATTATGGAGATTGATTTTGGGATTTAGATGCACTCTTATTGATTGTGCTTGGCCGTACATGTTCATATCCTTGAAGATGTATCATGGGGGTGTTGCAACCTAGAAGGCACAAATTTGACTAACAAGTTATAAGTACATGAGTCCAAAAATTATGGAAAAGTAAAAGATTCTTTCATTGTTTTACAAACCCTCCCCCAGGTCCCCTCCACCATGTAGCCCTCGCTCTAGTCTCCTGTGATGACAGAAATGCCTAGTTATATATCTCTTTTAAACAGTTTTCTCCCTCCTCTGTTTCAGTGCAGTATACATTATTGAACCCATTTTACTCAGTCTCTCCCCAACAGTGGCATCATGTAATATTTGTCCTTTTGTGACTGGGATATTTCACTCAGCATAATGTTCTCCAGAGTCAACCATTTTGAATAATATTGCATGAGTTCCTTGTTTTTTAATGCAGCATAGTATTCCATTGTGCGAATATACCACAGCTTCTCTAGCCATTCGTTTCTTAATCATCACAGTCCACCCCTTGCTAACCTATGTATCTCCTTAAGTTATATACAATCTCTAAATAAAAATGACTAAAAAGTCTTATCTGTGCCTAATATGACACAACTAATGATTACAATAAAAAATGCACTTGCCTCTTTCAGTTTTTATTTTATATGCTATAAAACAGAAAACAAAGGTATTTGTTGTGTATCCATTTATTTATCCATACATGTTTTTGTTATAAAATGTTTATAATAAAAACATGTTATACATGTTTTGTTATAAAAATGTTTATAATAAAAACATGTTATAATTCAGCTTTTATAAGATGGGTTACTTATATAAAATGTTTAAAAGTATGTCTAACAAAAGGATTGGAAGGAGTGGCATCCACTTCCAAAAAAAGCTTGCCTCAGGAAACTCTATGAACTTGGAGAAAAGATTAAAGTTTTGTGTTCAAGACTTTCAGATGTAGGGTCGCCATGGGTCGTCTATGACTCTACAGCACTTACAACAACAAAAGGAAGAAATATTTAAAACATGTATTGTCATAATTTCTGCAACTGGCCATGCAGTCATAGCTGGTATTTAGAACTACTTCTTTCTCCAATCCATTTCATATTACCTTTCATCTCAGGAATTATCTCAGCTAATCATAATTCTTTATCTGGTCAGGTGATTTGAACTTTTATTCCTGAAGGATTTGGGCCATTAGTAATCATATTGGAAGTGGGCTGCTGTAGTTTTCCATTCCATAAAGCAAAGAAAGAAACGATCGAGTGAAATAACTGAACAAAAGATTTCAAAGGGCCACTCTAGAAGTCAAAGTAAAATATTATAATTAAATGTGCAAAACCCTGAAGTTAGAAAACCAAAATAGAATCACACATTCAGCATTTCTCAAACTGAATGAAATGAAGGGGGGAAAAGTGTAAGACTCAAGTTGCAATCCTGAAGAATTCTATGGACAAAATATTAAATTACACAGGAAGTACCAAAAGAAGATGGAAGGAATACAGAGCCACTACACTAAATAGGTCCATAGTGAGAGCTTCCAAAAGCCACAGACAGAAAGGATAAGTAAACTGAAGATATTCTGTAAAAAGTAGATTGGAAAGATTATAAAAGCTGACTTCACAGAGTTGCTGACTCCACAGTTCTGATGGAAGAGGATAAAGAACTTAAAGAAGTGGGCACTACAGTGACGCAGGCATTAGCTTATTATCTTATAAAAATTATGAGTGGGTTTTTTGTTTGTTTGTTTTTAAGCAGTTTTCAATCTACCAAAACTTCTGAGGGTGGCATTTATTTCTTTTAGGGGAGAGATTTGAGCAGATGATCACTTACATTATCTGTGACAAGTTCCTTACACTATCAGTGACAACTGAGGACCCAGGCTTTGATTGTAGCCATTTTAGTATAATGGAAGGCCCTTTACAAATCTGTAAACACACATTACAAAGAAACTACTACTCATTCCTAGAACTTTATTTTTACAAATACTGATCTCTAAAATTTTATTTTTACAAAGAAACCATCTTAAATATTTCCCTAGTAATAGATCCAAGGAGATTTCCACATCAAAGTATTTTCCTGTTTAATCTCTGGTAGCATACTTTATAAACCACTGAAACAAAATATTTATTTAAACTTCTTCATTCTCACATGTACCTGCTTTAAAATATTATAATAAAGTCATTCATGTTCAGGAGCTGTGAGGTCTTGATAAAAGAATAGGTTTTTAAAAAATAAAGAAGAAGCAACTGAGATCCAGAACTTACCAGAAGAAATCTTCCCAGCACCTTTACAGTCAACAGCAAATGCAGATGTGACTCCATTGGCTAACCCCAGCTCACACATGGGAATCTGGTAAGGGGGCCTCAGCTTGATTTCCATCTGCATGTCAGACAGATTTATCTTTGTTGAAAGAGATCTGGGATTATTGTATCGTTGCTTGGTCCTCTGAATGAAGTTATCTATATAAAATTTAAAAAAATTTCTTGCTGTCAGATATTAAATCATTTGAGTGTGCTACTTATGGTTAGCAAATTTTGCAGATAAACAGTTTAAATTCGATAATCAAAATTATTCAATTTGTTGCAGAATATTCTAATACTATTTGTGTTTAATAGTTAATATGCCATGAAGTCATCAGTTTTATATTCTAGAAATTAATCACTGTAAATAAACTAAGAGTTTAGCATTACGTGTAAGAATATTTTTATTATATCCATTTTAAAGGATTGCGGAAACTAAAAGGAGCTTTAATTTTAAGCCAGTCTTAATTTTTATAGGGATGTTTTCTTATGAAATATTAAGTCTGTCAATATTTATCACTTACAATTACATAAGAACATAGACTATGTTGCACATTTTTAGAAGATTGTTATTTTATTCCTTACATCTTTAGAATGCAGATTTTAAAGAATCTAATAAAACCAATAAAAGATGTTTCCTAAACATTTTCCAAGCAGAATTTAAAATTTACTATTTGCAAAATGGTTTTGCTGTTTTTCCTCTTCTACATCAGCAATCAACCAAACACCCACAAACTAAATTCACTCTATTGCCTATTTTTGTAAACAAGCTTACTAAAATATAACCACACTCATTCGTTTATAAATTATCTGGTCTTTTACAGAAAATGCTTGCCAATCCCCTTTCCATATTAAGTAGTCACGTACATATCAATATCTCAACACAAAACTCTGAATATCAGAGAAACTCTTCTTTAGGATTAATTCTGTCAGCCAAAATGCACAATCCCCATTACAGCTCAAATACAATTTCTCTTAGGCACGTTAATTAGTAAGAAGTTGCCATAATTTATATACCACTTTGTCATGTATTTCCATCAAAGGCAAGGTTATAGAATTTTCTGTATTTTTCTTTCTGCCTTTAAGTATCAGATGAAAAATTGCTTACAACTGAATGGCGACAGGATAATAAAAAAGTGGAAAAAATCAAGCACTTACCAAATTCAATGAAACCATATGGTCTGACAGCAGTATTTGTCTTCATCATGTTATATGTAGTAATGAACTCCTTCTGAAGCTCATCCAGGAAAGAGAAGGCCAGAACATTGGGGTAATTTTCAGTGCACAACATCATGTAGCTTACTCCCAAAGAGCTAATAAAACTACAGGGTAAAAAACATTGGTTTAAAATTTCAAATTAAATCATGGTAATGCGTTGCTTCACAAGACTAGTTCTACACACCATAAACTGCTGCTACAGCGGTAATGAAGATATTAATATTTATTACACACTCCAGCAGAAGTTTTGAGGAAACAAAAATACACTGCATAATATGTTCTAGTTTAAAAACAGCAGACAAAAAGGTATAAAAGAAGGAAAAAAATATACAAGGGGTGCATGGCCAGGAGGAACCAGTTCTTGGAGAAGAACATCATGGAAGGGTGGAGGGACAGTGCAGGACAGGAAAAGCCTGGATGAGATGGATTGATACAGTGACTGGGGCAATGGGTGTAGGTGGGTGTGTTGGAGTCAGTGAGACCTGTCTCAGAATAGGGCAGGCTGCAGAGCTATGCACAGTACACAGGGTCACTCTGAGTCTCAGGCAACATAACAACATGGCATATAACAACAACTACCTCAATAACAAAAATAAACTGAAAGTTAAGAGTTTTCCTTGGTGGAACTTAATCCTGTTTGAGTGAAGAATCCCTTAAAGTCAAATAAAAGTTCTAGACGATCTCATCAGAAAGATACCCAACAACACAACATTCTGTACACAATTTCAGGATGGAGACTGATCTCTTCACACAGTGATATAAATCACTGAGGATAAGAGGGGGAGTTTATAAGACCACAATGATAACAAACAAAATAAAGTGGAAGAGAGACAAGGAAAGATTCCTACTTAAGGCACAATGCTGAATGTAGAATGTTTTATTTTTAAAATCTCAATATTGTAAGAGAAAGCAAAGCTGTGGAAACGTTGCAGATCAAAGGAGGCTAGAGACACGACACCTGGTCCCAGACTGAAAAGGGGGAAAAAATCAAACCCCACTACAAAGGACATGTTTGAATCAGTGAAGAAAAATAGAAACAGACAATAGATAAAGCATGGCTAGCAATATTAAATTTACTAAAGTTGAGCTGTAAATATGTAAGAGACTATCATTAGTTGTTTTTTTTAGACTATCATTAGTTTTATAAAATATACCTTGAAGCAGTTAGGAATAATGGAGCAGGGTATTTGTAAATTAATTTCAAACAGTTGAGAAAAATATGACAGGAAAAAGTGACATGAGGAAGCGAGAGTGAAATGATTAAGCAAATGGGTAAAATGTTAAAATGAGTGAATCTGGGAGAAGGTGTTGCACTTTTAATCTTTCTGTAAGTGAATTTTTTCTAATTAAGCTAACTCTTAGAAATAAACAAAAACTGTCTACTTGAAGTACCAAAACATTTACATTAACTATGTTGCAGCTCAATGTCAAGAAGACAAAGATTCTCACCACTGGGCCAATTGGCAGCATCAGGACGAATGGTGAAGAGATTGAGATTGTACACAGCTTAGTTTGCTTGGCTCCACAATGAACACTCTTGGCACCAATTGCCGGGAAATTAAAAGGCGTATTGGCCATGGGAAAGTCTGCTGTTAAGGACCTCTCCAAAGTACTGAAGAGCAATGGTGTCTCTCTGGAGACTAAGGTGCATCTGATACAGGTCATGGCCTTTGCTATCACTTGTTATGCATCAGAGAGTTAGTTGGACAATGACCAAGGAGGATAGAAGGAGAATTGATGCCTTTGAGCTATGGTGCTGGAGAAGAGTATTGAGGGTACCATGGACTGCTAGGAAAACAAACAGAGTCATCCTGGAAAGAGTTAAACTGGGTGGCTCCTTGGAGGCAAGGATTCTGAGGCTCCATCTAACATACTTTGGACATGTTGTAAGGAGGGACCAGTTCTTGGAGAGGGACATCATGCCTGGTAGGGTGGAGAGACAGCGCAGGAGGGGAAGGCCCTCTATGAGGTGGATTGATTCAGAGACTGGGGTAATTGGGATGGGAGTGTCAGAGACAGTGTAATTAGCACAGGACAGAGTAGAGTTTAGGGCTGTTGTACATAGGGTCGCTGTGAGTCACAGCCACTCGACAACACATAACAACAACAACATGTTATAACTAAATAGAACAAATAACAATTTATAGTTGGTATTTTTGATTTTTTAAAGCTGCTACTAACTTAGTGCAACCTGCACTGCCCAAGGTAAATCATTTTATCCCTAAGGACATTTATGAACATAGTGTATACCTTATAGTAAGCAGAACATGGAACATAAACTATCTTTTTACAGCACTGTCGACAAACCTGGTTTAAGCTAGAGGTGACAAAGCACACAGCACACCAAGTATTCCTGTGGAAAATATTCCTAACAATCTACTATAGGAATCTTTCCTGGTGAGCCCTGCTCTATGTTAGAGTCTCCATACAGTTTTTTCTAATAATGTAGAAGACTATCAGATTTTAACTTTCTATAATAAATAATAATTCATATGCTTCAAATGTTAAAAACCTGAAACGGTACAAGAGAGTTTCTCATGCCCACCCTTGGCTACAGATACCCAGTTCTCTCCTCAGTCAACTCATGCCATTAATGTTCTAATGTATCCTTCTACAGAGTATACTTGCATATGCAAGTAAAAACACACACATATATGGAACTCTAGTGACGTAGTGATAAGGAGCTGCACTGTCAGCCCAAAGGTTAGTGATTGGAATCCACCAGCTACAACACAAAAGAAAGGTGGGCAGACTCCTCTTGTACAATTTAAAGCAGAGTTTCACACCTGTTGGAGGGTCAGCTATGAACTGGTTCCAACTTGAAGACAATGAGAAAACAAGCGTGCATGAGTGCGCGTGCACACACACACACACACACACACACACACACACACACACGTGTCTCTATTAACCATCCTGGATAATGACATTTAGATTTGCATCTAGTGACTTAGAGTTGACATCTATCAATCATTTATTATTAGTGGTCAGTCTGTATATTAAGATGCACCTGATCCAGGCCATGGTCTTTCAATTACTTACTATGCATCAGAAAGCTGGACAATGACTAGGGAAGATAGGAGAATTGATGCCTTTGAGCTGTGGTACTGGACAGGAGTACTGAATATACCATGGACTGCTAAGAGAATGAACAGGTTTGTCCTGGAGAAGGTGAAACCAGTCTGCTCCTTGGAGGCAAGGATTCTGAAGCTCCATCTGACAATACTTTGGACATGTTGCAAGGAGGGACCAGTCCTTGGAGAGGGATGTCATGCATAGGAGGATGAAGGGACAGCACACGAGAGGAAGAACCTCGATGAGATGGATTGATTCAATGACTGGGGTAATGAGGGTAATTGTGTCAGAGAAAATAAGATTGGCACAGGATAGAGCAGGGTTTAGAGCTGTTGTACATAGGGTCGCTATGAGTTATAGGCAACTTGATGGCCCATAACAACAATAATTATTACTAGTACAGGATATACTATTGATGACACTGTTTTGATCCTACACATCAGTGATAATCAGGAATTTCCCTCTCAAGTTTTACTGATACACAGTCATTTGGCCCAATGTTTTGCAAACAATGAGTTGTGACTTAGCCCACTGGGAAGTAATAAATGGGTCTTTCGTGTGTTATAAATAGCATTTTATAAAAACATAACAAAATACTGTTTTATAAAATTTTTGTTCTCATTTCTTTAATGTTTTGCTTACTATACATGTCTTGTTAGGGTTTTTTTTTTATATTAAAAGTTTAGTCTTTGAGTATGACATTTTTCTGCAAAACTCCAAGTGCTTTCTCTCAAACTATTTGCTATCCTTAAAAAAAAAAATTCATTATCAAAACTGGATAGATTATGTATACTGAATCGAAACAGATGGAGAGAACAGTTTAAAAGTGATATATGATAGGATATTATGATTATCACAGGAATGCAGAATTATGTTTGCATAGCAGAATGCACTGGGGTCGGGGTGGAGGGGTGGGGGGGTCTGGGTCAGGGGGGTTGTATACCAACGAAGAAGTTTATCTTTTGCTTTTCAAAGAGAGGAGCGAACTGAGGGGAGGGGGATAAAGAAAAAAGTGCAACAATGAATGACTGAAAATCCAGTCTCTGTAAATGTTCATTAAAATTAATAAAATTTTAAAAAAACACAACCATTATTTGTAGCTTAGTTAGTGAATATGTGAAAAGATAATTTTATCTCATAGTAGATGACCTTGGTTTTAAAGGACATCTGGCTGTTTATTTTGTTGCTTGTGCTGTTTTAGGTATTTGAGCCATTACAAATCCACTTTTAAAGAAAAAAAATTCATTATGAATAGCAAAATTCTCAGATGTGTCATCAGCATTCAGAAATATCTCAGAGTAACTTGACCTGGACTTGAACCACCACTGGAGACTGGCTCACATTCCCTTGGAAGTCAAGTGCCTATCCAGGAGTGAGTCTTTTTTTCTCATATTAACAACAGAGTCAAACACAGACATCTACATAATATCGTTGATGCTGGGTGTCACCGACTCGACTACAACTCCTACTGACCCTATGAACCATGGATCTGAATCTTGCCTTGTACTGTCTTCACCAATCCTGATACACTCGGGCCCATTGTTACAGTCACTCTGTTGTGCATCATGTTGAGGATCTTCTCTTTCTCTGACCCTCCATCTTTCCAAGAATGATGTGTTTTTCCAAGGCCTGACTGACTCCTCCTAACAACATGCTCAAAGTATATCAGACAAAGTGTCATCCTCCTTGCCTCTTAGGAGCATCCTGGTTCACTTTCTCCAAGACACAGTTGTTTGTTCTTTTGGCAATCCATGGCATATTCAGTACTCTTCTCCAACATCACAACTTATGAAATCGATAATTCTTCTGGCATCCTTATTTACCATCCAACTTTCTGATACATAGCAAGTAACTGAAATCAGGTGCACCTCACTCTTTTAACTGACATCATACTCCTTATCTCACCTTGGAGATTAAGGTCTTGGACAGCAAATTTTTCCCATGCAGCGTCCCTTTTGATTTCCTGACTGCTGGTATAAAGTGTGTTGATGATGTATGCAAACAAGATGAAATCGTTGACAACTTGAAT